TGAAAATGAAAACTGTGGATGTTCGACTGCTGACGATGACGCTCTGCTGGTAAACTGAGACACATGTCACGGCTGCTCGGCGCCGCCCAAACTAAACCAACCTTTGAGTCGATTTCCTCTGCTGGTGAACTCATTAAGCTGTTGCTGCTCACATGTCACGATGAGCAAACAGATCACGAAGAAGACCTCTGCTTGTCAGAGAGCAGACGTTAACATCTGGCCAGCTGTGTAGGACAGTTTGATCTTCATTTAGTTTCATTAGTTTGTGGGACGACGAGTGGAAGAGCAGAGGAAGTTTACTGGTTTGGAGTTGTCCACGTGAAAACTGGATGACGTCCAGGCAGCAGTGAAAGACTAGTGAGGGGTCGGGCAGGTGGCTCAGCAGAGTTTAAGACCTGCTCACATTCGATCCACTGCAGATGTTTGCACCTCGACTGCTGTGGACACGATGAAGACCAGTGTCTGTGGTCCAATCATGTCTTATACTGCAGGACAACACAGAGCAACACGTGAAGCTCGAGAGGAAGTTGAAGTTCAGACCAGAGACGAAACAAACACAGAGAGGATTCAGAGCGTCTCACTCCACCTGTCACAAATCTGTTTATTCACTGCTCCTTCTTATTGTTATCATTATTACTCACATGTCTGGTTATTTCCACTGTAATTAAATTACTTTTCCACTGAAAAAGCAGAGTAACTGATTACTGTTCATTTTTAGGTATTTTAATTACAGTTACTTACAGTGTGCTTGTGTTACATTGTAAAATAATTAAACTCGCTGAATGTCATCATTTCATTTCAATCATTTATCTTCTAAACGTAAAGTAAACTCTGTAACGTCGCTGTAGTGCAGCTGCGTCACCAGTTTGCTGCACAGTCGTCGGACTCGGCTGAAGCGAGCGGCTGTTTCATGGCGTGGACAAACTCCCGCCTCGTCACGTTTCTGAAACAAGCAGACACGAACGTGACAGTAATGTGTAAAAACTATCAGCTGCTGTTAACAGCAGGAGTAATCTACTGAAGCGCCTGACACGGAGCAGAGACGAACACTTCTGAGTGATGCTCGTTCATCATCCATCACCACGGCAACAGCAGCTGAGCAGCAAACCTGATTGGACTTCAGCACTTAAAGAGTGACTGCAGGCGGCGCTGTGGAGGAGACGCTGCTGTAGAGTCTCCGTCTTTAAAATGATTTATTATTTAAAGAGTTTGATTTCTCTTGTTTGTCCACTCGAGGTTTTATTGGGATTTTAAGAAGTATTTAGTTAAATTACTTAGTGAGTAATTAAGTTACTTTTCTGACAGTAATTAGATATTTTAAACACACTGTTGATTAAGTAATTAGTAATTAATTACTTAAAGTAACTTACCAACACTGGCCTGTGTGCAGAGCTCAGCGTGGTGATAAACAGTGACGGGCTGATGTGTGCAGATGTTTCAGAAGCTGCATGATAACGTCCCGTCTGTGTTGTTTCCAGCTGTAAGGACGACATCTGCCACGGCGTTGGAAGCCTTCTGGTCTACGTCACGAGCCTGAAGGGGCTCGCCGCCATCAGAGATGCTGTCTGGGACCTGCTGTCAGCAGACTCCATCAGTCAGCACTGGAGCGCCGTCTGCCAGCGTCTGCTGGAGCACCCCCTCGCCGTCTGGGAGGACATCCTGCAGCAGCTTTTCCTCCAGCGGCTGCAGGTTGCTGTTCTTCTATCTTCAGCTTTATAGGTTCAACTAGTCTG